AAATAGCATCAAAGCTAACTTTAAACTTATTATACAGTATTTTCCTTGGTTTCCACGTAGTTTAGCAAAATCAATTTCCTACATGTAAATACCATGAGGTAAACGATCTGGATTAAAAAAAATAAATTCTTTGAGGGCTGAACCACACATAGCCTAACCTAGGAATATACTAAACCTACATAACGAGAATGCAGCTAGAAGCTCATCGTGTTGCTACCAGCCTATCTAGTCCTCAGTCAGGAAGTACATTCAGTCCCTGAAAGCGATGAGCATTGCTCTCTTCCTTGGATTTATGAAATGCCAACACACTTGGAGCTGAGGAATCTTACTCAGTGCTTGTATTCTGCAACTGCAAAACCAAACAGTGTCACAGCTCTTGTAGGAATCGTGTACTACTGAGCACTATGTGTACCAACCTGAGCACACAAACCTGGCTTCAGAGCTTCTCGTTGGCCTTAGTGTTGCACCCAAGACACAGTTACCAGACAGTAGTGATATACCAAGTAAAGTTTGTGTTGTCCTCTGGTTGACATGGTTTTCCCAAACGCTAGCAGTCCTAAGAAGCTTCATCTTTCATTGCAGTGATGAGCAGGGAATGAGCTAACACTGCAGTGACCTGTTCATCATGCTCTAAGTTGTCCAACAGCTTCCCGAAGCTGCAAAGTTGAATGTTCTCGACCCCGCTGTGCAGTCTCCTGCCTACGCCTTCTGGATTTTGTACAGGGTCTCCTAGAAGCTGAAGCTCGCCAACTTTCCTCCTCCCCACCAATGCTCGTTGCCCTGTCGAGTCTCCACAATGTCAGTATTATCTTGAGTAAGTGGGCTGAAATATCTGAAACTGGAGGTTTCAGCCCACCTAGTAAATCAACGCACCCTTTTTAAAAAAAGGAGTAATTCAAACAGCAAAGCCAAACTAACGCAGAGCATCTAAATAAACAGCATAAAGCGTACCTACAGTTTTTCCCTTACAATACCGACAAGTGCAGTTTGAAATGGAGACTCAGAGAGAGCTCCTACCTTACCCTGTCTATCCCCTAAGAAAGCTGCTGTAGCACACGTGCATGCGACCTGCCATCAAGTCACTGTTTGGACGCTGTTGTCATCACTGCACAAAATTTTAGGGTTATGAAGGAAGAATCTAAAATAGCTTTTTGCCTTGGGTGAGTACCGTGGTGGGGACAGAAGTAACCGTTTGTTTGAACAGATGTTAACATGCAGCGTTGCTATATACAGTATCACTGCTTCAAATCAGGGAAAACAGCCTTATCTGGAGAGGTACTGCATTAACAGGTACATTAAAAGTAACAGTCTCTGGTCTCTTGACACTTCACATACACATCAAAGCGCTCTGCAATCAAAGCAGCTCCAAGAGCCTCATGAAGTTAATATTTAAAAAGGGACAGAGACAGATGGCAGCTTTTTCAGACTATTCTAGAAGCCTAGAATAGACCCAGCAGAGACATCATCATCATCGGTACTGGAAGAGTGTGACAGAGGCAGGGGAAGGGAAGCACTGGAGGAGTCACCACAGCCTGGGTGAGGAGAACTGCTAGTTCAGTGCAGAGGCTTGTAGCACTAGCAACAGCCTACTGCAAGAACACGAATCTGCTTTGATGCACTCATAATTAATGACTCCCATTCCTTTGCTGAAGTTTTTCTTAAAAATATTCCTGGTAAGAATTTCATCTTGGGAAAAACCTCCAGCTCTGTTAAGTGTGATTAGGGATCCACAGGTCCCCTTGATCCAGGGGGAGTCTTCACTTCCAATTCCATCACCTACCATCCTGGAACACGCTGCCTTCTGCTGTGCCCATGAACAAAACCAAAGACAAATAACCGGTAATAGATCACAGCGCAGTATGGCTCTTCCTGATGCCCCAACGACAGGTTTCAGCAGACCTGAACAATCTCTGCAGTCCCAGTCGTAACGTGACCGTCTGCAAAACGCTGCTTATCAGATGAAGCATGGATAAAGCCTGTTGTAGCTCCACAAGACACACAGATCTCAGAACAGGACATGCTTACAAGCCTGCAACGCACAACTCGAGTGTAGCTATATGAAGAAAGCTGCAATCCCCACCTACAATTGTTTCTGGTTCTGATGCGTTGCTGAAACTTGGAGAATTTGGTGCTGTAGTGAACCATCTACGCAACCAGTTCAGGGTGCAGCAGTCAACAGCTGTGTTGCTAAGGACCAGAGCCATTTTGCTGTCAAGAGAAAATCCCGGTAAAATTACATGCAGAGTGCAGCCCTGCATGCTGCTATAGTTCAGCAGAAGCGTAGCTTATGCTGCAACTCCATCAGCTGCTGATCATCGTTACCGTAAGATCAAGGATATTTCAATTAGACTAGTATGAATGAGATTATTTCCATAAGCAACTCTGTCAAGAGACAGCTGCTGCAAAAACAAGACGTTAGGATAAGAAACCAGTACCAGACATACGAATGCAGACTTTCAGATCAATACTGCCACTGAGTAAAGGCGTGAGAGCGGTGTAGTATTATTCCCACAGAGCTACTGGCTGGTAGCTAAACACAAACCCCTCCTAAGGGTTCCTTGGTTACTACCTTCTGCATCCCTTTCTACTTGTCTTCATTCCAAAGTCAATGCCCATCACTGATCTGCCAGGACATCTTTTAAAACACTGAGATATGTAATGCAACAGAGCTATTTTAGATGTTTCTCAGAAGCATCATTTCCACCCCTTGTGAAGGCTGCTCCGCAGCAGCTCCTGGGAAGAAGCAGCATACTGCACCCTTGCAGTGCAGCAGCCGTGACACGCACAGAAGAATTTTAGCCTTAAAGATGCTTCTAGAAGACCCATCTAAACCTATAGGTATCCCCTCCACAGCCACTGGGGTGCCTCGAGCCCCCTCCCCCTTTCTAATATTCCCAATTGTATTAAAAAACATGGGATGGAGGTAAGAAGCCCTTGGGGGAAGACCATTCCTTCCCTTAGGGAGCTACTCAGCCTGTTTGGGGGAGAAAGGAAGACAGAGAGCATGGCACAGTGCTAGAAGCCTCTCCGAAACTGCAAGGAAAAGCAGAAAGCAGCCAGGCAGGCCTCAGAGGAGCTGGAGGAAACATTTTTGAGACTCAAGCAGTCAAATCAGCTTTTCTGCAACACAAAATCACTGAATTAATGATAACCAAAGACATCCCTGCAAAGATGGGGGTGGAGGGAACACATCTTCATTATCTATTCCGCCTGACCTATTTGCTTTGAGTTCCAAATGAAGATTCAAGCTTTTATTCCAGTAAAATTTTTGAGTTTTAAATTGTTCTGGTCTCATCTGAGCTAATCTGCATTCAGAGCCCCATCCCGCTCAGTGCCCACACAGACTCCCTTCACACACTCCTGCTCTGCAAGGATCTTCTTTCTCTTTCCAAGACTCCTGCAAGTAATCGTTTCACTCGTTTCTCAATGGGTCTGTCTCAAGAACAGCCAACTCATCATGGTGTCACTCCTGCTGGGACATGCAGAAAGGGAGATTCTATTTTACTAAGCAATCAGCTCTCACTGCTGCTGCCACCACAAAATGCTACAAGTTACTCTTCCTGATACACATTTAGTAGAAGCATCTAAATTCATCATGCTCGTTAACTTAAATTAACTTTTCCAGTTCAAATGTAATATAAGCAAAGGAAAAGGTGAAAAGCAGCAGAGAAGTGGCGTTGACTTTTTTTAACAAACACTAAGTAAAACCTGATGCAGCTTATTTTCCTTTTACCACTTCCAAAGAAGGTAGAGATTTTTACACTGGAAATACGAAGCTACTACAATATCAGGTCTTATTCTTACTGTTCAAGGCTTATATGCTATGCAACTTGTTCCTGTAAGAGCTTAACCATAGCTTAGTCTTCTATAAAATTTACCTTTAGACTCAATTTTTTGTGCTTTAGCCTCAATTATTTGAAGACAAAAATTATAAGGATTAAGCTATGACCAGTACTGCAGCTTTCTACCCTTTCATCGGCGCTGGTAGAATACTGTAAAAAATTATCAGTAACACTTTTCTGGAGACAAAACAGAAATCACAAAGGCCAGACTATTCTTTAGCCTGCATTTTATTAATTTCCAAGTTTTGTGACACTAGAGACACTAAATGAAACTGAAAAGGTTTTGTAACCTGCTATAAAGCACTGGAAAAATGCAACATTCCCCAACGCTGCCCCTAGTATAGGAATCTGGCCTTCTCAACCCCCTTTGCCAGCATTGTCAACCAGAATTACAAGCTAGGAAAACAATAAAGAAGTTTATTACGTACTTTGTGTCTTATGACCCTGCACAGAATCAGAAACATACAGCTGGGAGTGTCAAAAGACTGGATTGATCAAAGATTTATATTTAGAAAAAGCATTTTAAAAATATTAAGAATGTAGGTCAGAAGAATAATTTCATACCAATCCCATCAAAACCAGTTTCACATGTCTTTCTTAAAAAAAGATACCGTCAATATATTATAAATTTTAGTGATATGTTTGAAAGTATTCTCTCTTCTGTTCTTCTCGGAAGCATTTTTAAAACATTGTCTCTGTCAGGCCTTAGAGGGCTTAAGGATGGGACAGACTTCCTACTGTTTTGAACCTCAGGGCACATCCTTTCCGTTTTCAATCCCTACTTCTCATGTGTTCTCATGCAAGAAGGACCCTCTAATTCTCTACCTTTCAGAAAGTAAACTCCTCCAGCCATGCCCCAGATCACAAGACTTTCACCAAATGAATAATGCTGTTTGTGTTCCAGACAAGTAAGAAATCAAGTGAAAAGTTAAGCCTTTTCAAGACGCTCCCGCCCAACAAAGTTTTCATGGCCATGATGTGCTCAGTGTTTAGAACCGAGATCAAGCAAGCAGTGCAGACTGCAAGAGTCAAGTAGGAGCAGAATTCATCCAGAGCGTATTTTTGTATAGTTAATAAAAACGCTACCAGTGTGAGACATACAACTACGGGGTTACTAACAGCAGTTACAGGCAACAGGTTTCTGTGGAGGACAAGAGCTTGTAAAGGATGAAACAAGCCAACCTCGTACCAAGGTGTCAAAATCCTAAACCAAGAAACAGGGCTCAGTATTTTGGAGAGATTTTGACCCCATGTCTCTCAAGCTTTATTCATTCCCAGATATCTGCACAGAACTAAAAGATTACTTTAAATAATTTGCATTTATACAGCACAGACAGTGAGAAAACCCTGTCCCAACTGATATTAAGATCTAAAATACAGAAACTTAACCCTCAGTATTTTGTTAGCAGCAACATTATTTATAATTCTAACTAAGTAAAAAGGGATGATGGAAAGTGTTAATATTAATGACATCTATACAAGGACTAACATAATTCAGATTATCACCTAGACTCGCTAAAGCAAATTTTAGAGCTTCTTAAAAAGTAGCATTTGAATTTCAGTTCTAAGCAGTAAAATAATCCTGAGTAAAATATCCTGATAGCTACTGATCAGTAATTATTACCATATATATATATATATATATACACAAAAGCTTGTTCTGCTGATTACTTCATTCAAACTTCCAGAGTATCACATAGGCTTAAGATCCTACTGCACAAGCTTGAAACAGTAAAAACGTGTGCTACTACTGCATTTCAGAAGTCATTAAAATACAAGAATTCCAGGGTTACGATCATGATATCAAAGTTTTATTTGCCACGATTAAAGCGAGCCAATATGATCAAGTTACTCAGCCTAGCACCACAGTTGCTCAAGTACTTCATGACCACTGCTAGCTCAGAAGGAGGTGGTTGGATTGTAACAAGTACCAGGTAACTCACCTCTTGAGTGACTTGTTGCTCTTGGCAGCATTTTCAGTATTAGTATCTTTACTTACTCGCTATGCTAGCTATTCACAAAGGCACTAATATTAAAAAAATGGCTAAGAGAAAAGAGACATTTGAGAAGTCCGTTACCCAGTATTTGCAGCAAGCTGTTTGTATACCAGGCTTGTTTATCAAGCAGTTGGAAATGAGTAAGTTAAAAGACCATTACGTTGTCATGGCCAGAGCATGTCTACCTTCTAAGGTAGTCATTTGCTCCTGACTGGTACTGCTGGCTTTGTGTTCATCTGGATCTACCGAACAAATGAGATGTCTGAGACTTTGGAATACTTGTATATGGTGGCACATTTTCATATAGGTATGACATACGTAATTTAAGTGCCCCGACTGTATTAGGGGAAGCAGATGTCCAATAACGTACATACAATACAAGAAGGAGCTGCATTTTAGCCAGATTGGTTAGGTTTTCCTTCATCTAGTGTTAAAAGAGTTTAGCTGTTTGGAGGAATATGCACACAGTGATTTCCATGCTGCAATACTGTAAGCTTGGTAAGTACTGGTTTTAAAGATTAATAAAACATAACAGTTAATTAATGAGCTTTAATGTTAATGTGTAAATGCCCATATAAGTAATATCTATAACCACAATGGCTTCTCATAGAAGTTAGATACAGAAGAAGACCTTTTCTGTTACTTACTGTTCTCTATGGTTGGATCATATGAATCAACAAACTGTCCTTCCACAAACTGAATCGTCAGTGAAGATTTTCCTGTAAAGCAAGGAAAAGATAGTTTGTATTGAAACAAGTCTTCAGGCTGTTATCACTTTAAACTTACTAACAGATACACTAATGTTTTTATAAGAGCCAATATGAGCTTTGTATGGTTCATTTAAACACCTATACATGACAACTGACCTATTTTTAAATTAAGTGTCTATTCCTAGTAACTGGGTCTCCTGAACACATAAAAAGTAGTGCAAGAGCTACTCAGCACGTGTTCTGCTTTTGTTTCAACATAGCATAATCTAAGCACCTCCTCCAGTTTAAAACAAATCTAAAAGTAGCAGTGCCCAATCCACATAAAACTAAATTTAACAGACTGCTATACTTGGAACGTTTTTCTGTCGAGAAGCAAGGAAAACAAGAAATAATTTTGTCATTGCACAGGAAACTAGGAACTTCAATGGAATTAGCCAAATCTGGTTGTCTAGGGGATTGAACATCTGTCCCATGACAAATAGATAATCTCAAAATTCTTGAGATCAATATATGCTACTCTTCTATTAACCCTCCTACAACAGACCTGCGGATGCTGTATTTTAAGCATAGCGATTGAGAGGGCATCACTGGATTTTCTTCTTTTGAAAGCAATTTAACTGCTACTTTTGCAGAAAACGTTCCCAACTTCAGTTATGCTGACCATACATACCCCAATAGAGAGTAACGCAAACTGCTGCATTTAACAGCAGATTGAAAAAATGAAAACTAATCTAGTCTTGAAAGATTTTACAAGATGGTAAAAGTGAATCGCATACATCGACCATAAAAAGCACCTTTAAAGCTCTGCGACTAAAGACTTTTCAAAGCATTACTGAAGTCTTAACACAATTTCCATTACAGCACATCGTCTGCATTTGAGAATCTACTAGATCCTATTACATTATGTTTACTGGACAAATACACTCTCATAAAGATTGCCAAGGGCATTAGCTGCTTTTGGACATGAACATATTCTTCATGTTCCTTTATACTCTTCTCATCGGCAAGAAGCACAAACAAAATATGACCTCAAGTTAAAATTTAGACTCAAGACCATCTTACTCACTGGAAGCATTTCAATGACATCATAAGTAACCAATGTTGTGGATGAACTAGTTTATACTAAAACTGTTTTCAAGAATTAATTGCTTTGGACAAAGATTGCCCACTGGCAGTGCTTAGACCATGCTATGTTTATACTTTGCTGTAGAAAAAGTTCTTTCCTAAGCATTCCTTCAGGAGATATTAAAAAAAAAAAAAAAGTTTTACAATTCCAACCCCCCCATTCTTTCTTCATCATACAAGGCTCTCGACTTGTTCACATTTGACTTTTTATTATCACCAGCAACTTAGCAAGTCATTTTGTTAAAGGCATTCTAAAAAACTGCAAGTCGGACAAAGTACAGAGGGATGCAAGGCAAGTTTGGCTTAATATTTGTAATTACATATGCAGTCAACTCCTTCATTAACTGCAACACTTCCAGGATTTATTCCTCCAGGAGGAAGAGAATGTTACACAAGCATCATCACTGGGGGATTTCCCAACAGCTGTAACCTCCATCGACTCACTGCTTGGTTTATTTTAACATCACTACCCAGCTCTGCCATACTCATCCCTTTGCTGACCCCTGTCAATCATGCCAGTTTATTCAAGATACAATGCTAAAAACCCCAGACAACCCCCCCCAAAAGACAAAACCAGCAACACAACTCCAACCTTGTAGGAGTTGCTTTTCCCTCAAATCAAGTTCTTAGATACCATTTTCTGATACATCTAACAGCACAACTGAAGGGGTCATGCTCACTGTGCATGAGTTTACAGAGAGCACTGCATTTAAGCTGTTGCCCTAGCAAGGAGAAGGGGGGGGGAGAAGCAACCACGCACATCTGAAATCATCCTAATAGGGACAGACTTAGAACTGAGCCTATGCATCCCAGCAACTTTCTGAAACTATTTCAGATGCCATTTAGAGAGTGAATGAACTTTCAAGCCGTTTCTTCTTCAGCTGTAAGCCTGTGAAGTTGCTACCCAGAGTTCATGCTTCCAGATTCCAGCACATTAAGCACTCCATTTTAAAACAAAGTTCACTATTCCTATGTTAGGCTGCTACGTATCTTCAAGATAAGAAGAACTAAGTTAAGCTCAGATCATCACCAAACATTTTTCAGTTTGTTTAGGATCCTTCCTGGGAGGAAAGACTTGACTGCTACCATCTGCCTGTGCTAAGTCTGGAAACCGAGTACTAGAAAGAAGTGGGAGCCAACAGAAAATGCTGCAGTTAACATCCAGCTGTATTAATTACTGCTTTCCTCCTAACAGCGAAAGAGGCGGAAACAAAAACAGACAAAACCAGCGTTCCAACACTCTCCTCCGAAATTCCTCCAAGCTTTTTAACAAGCCTTCCAGTAATGATGTGTTTGTGATCACAAGAGGATGCCTGCTTTCCTAGATGAGCCACAGGGATGCTCTCCAGTCTTGGATTCAGCCACGTACCCCCTCGGGAGAAGCTCATGCAACAGTATCCCACCAAAGCAAGGCTTCCAAAGGGAACACAAGAAATTTAAAACCTAATTTAAAACCTCTGTCATTAACACCCCACTGCCTTGTCTCAGCCCATGCCCAAGAAGCACGCAGGACCATGTAAACAACAGCTTGGCTTGAACTTTGTCTCACAGGTTTTATTCCAGGCCGTTGACCTATGCTCATGGACAGAGCGGAAAATTAAGTTGACAGTTTAGCTCCTATCACCTCTTTCCCCAGAAAGATCGGGCAACCTTTTCAGAGAGAATTACAACATAAACAGAACATCCGTGAGGCAGGGGCCAAGGAACTGCACGCAGCTGCGTTTACTGCTGCGCTAACGCCATCTCGGAGCACCGCAGGGAGGAGGACGCGGGGAGACCCTGCAGTCTACATGTGCACGCTTCAGCCTAAAACGCCGAGAGCGCCTGATACCAGTAGCAAAGATTTGATTCAATGATGACTCAAGGGTGCACTCCTCAAAAAAGGCTCAGCTCTGGTATGCCCTCATTTGGAACAAATGCCAAATCGTTTTTTTTTTTTAGTTTGCTAAGCTTTTCCTCGTACCATCCTCCACGCTGGTACTTTTACTGTATCCACTGTCCTCAAGTTTTAGGAAAATAAACCTCTGTTGAGACCAAAAGGAGAAGCATCATGAGCAGAAGCAAGGCAAACCCTGCCGGAAGGGGTTCACAAAACTGGTGGAGACCTGTGATTTTAAGATGAAAAAGCATTTGCAAAATCTTACTGGAGAAGATGATGGGTTAACCTTTTGACTGTTCAGAACCAGAGAGCTCAAAATGACTATGAAGAAATAAATGAATCAAGTCAGGGCAACACCAGGGAAGGCAACAAGATGACTCCTCCAGCCATACTTGCTATGGCAACCCAAAGCACCAGATACTCTGTGGTGGAGGAGTTGTAAGCAAATCCTCCAAATTTACTGACTCTCCCTCTCCCCAGAGGAACAGGACAGAAGGTAAGTGTTGGGAGGAATGGGTTTTACAAGTGTTTAGAGTACAAGTCCCAGGTGGCTGAAAGCTCAACTCAAGTTGTCCAGAAGTACCCAAAGGGTATTTGCATACACCATTTGTTATTTATGATATTATGTGGGAGTGGTAAAAAAAAAATAAAAAAGTTTTCCACAGTCAAAACAGAAGAGGGACAGGTTTTCAGACAGAAAGGCATTTCAAAAAATAAAGCTGTTGTACTTCTGTTCATACAATAGGCTACATGAAGCGGAAGGTCCCATAGACACTGACTGGTGCAGTCATAGCACATCAGTTTCAAATGCCATTGCAACTGTCAAGGCAAAACAACTGCCAAACTGAGTTTTTACTCATCCTTTTACTTCTTGGACAAGAGCTGTGGTATTTAATCTAGCCTTAAAATTCAAGCTTTAAACTAGGCAGTTTACCAAGAGGCTGAGTAACTGAGCACGGGTGGGCTCGTGAACAGCTGCCCCCCCCCCCCGGGAGGGGCCATGCCCTCTCTTGGGTGCACCACCGCCTGCCCGCCGTCCCCATCCCACATCCTTATTCTCCTTGCAACAGGCAGAGGGAAAGCCCAGATGAAATTCTCATCTGCAGCCAACTTCCCCCCAAACCCAGGAGATAGAAATGATGCAACCGGCCAGCGAGCAAGTCAAACAACAGCTCCACAAGCAAGGCATTGTGCAAGCGCGATTCTGCAGCTGCCCTCTAATGTGGCATCGCACCACGACAGCCGCTGGCAGCACTGTGCCCTTTACCTCAACAGGAAGAATTTCTCAATACACGAAATCATCTGCACAAGCAATCAGTAAACAGCTTGACGGGGTCAAAACCAACAACTACTGAAGAGCTGCAATTCTCCGTTCTATCCGAATTTTAGATGCAGAGTTTCTTTAACCCATCTTTTTCCATTAAAATGTCTGCTTATGTACTTCGCTTAATTATTAAATACTTAACAGCTGGCAGCATCTAATCCACTCCTACCACAAGCCTAGCATCTTACCTAAGTTAGTCTCTACATAGATCTACTCAGTCTTACCTACAGAACAAACCAGTTTAGGATTTGTCACAAAGGGGTTCAAGACATTTCATAACGAAATGCTGTCAGTCATATCAAATTAAGCAAGACTCACTGTGTACCCAGCTTTCAGTATCTCACGCACAGCTATGCTCAACTTAGAGCATCATTTGGTTGGAAAAGACCTTTAAGATCATCAAGTTCAACCATAAACACTCTTGCTACACTTCACAGAGATTAGGTTTTCATACTGAAAGTTTCGATTTAACTTGAACGCTGAGATCTTTATCTTCTTTAATTCAGGATACCAAGATACACAAAATGGAGATACCAGCATTTCCACAGCGGGGATTCGTCCTCAGAGCACAGAAAGGGACAGGACAAGTTCTTGGAGCAGATGGAGATTTAGCTGGGTAGCAAAGAGAATTATAGCCTCACTCTACGATAAAAATCTTTTCATGAGATAGCAGATGATCTC